TTTAAAAACGGCGCTAAAAGTTGATTTAAAAAAATATATTTTTTTATTATGTCTAATAGTCTTTTATTTAAAAAAAAAAAAAAAGTTATATTCAGCTATAAATTTTCAATCCAAGTATAAGTTTTTTTTAATTTCTTATTATACGAATAATATGAATTATTCAAAAAAATACAGGCTAATAAAAAAAAAAAAAATTTAAATATATTATTCATTTACAGATTGGACACATAAAACATGACACTAACGGTAAATAGATAAATTGTCAAATGCAGAGTACACTTATAATTCTACCCTTTTAAAATTATAAAAAACTCTTAAATTATAAATTGTGAACTTTATGTGTATACTCGTGGATCAACCAACTATATTCTAGAAATAGAAAAGAAAAGCTGAATTATTAATTGTTCTATATAATCAGCTTAAGTATCTATTTATAATCACACCATTTGTCGATTTGGGACTATTATCCTTACTTGGTCCTTAGAATTAATCTAAAATGAAGGAATGGCAATTTGGGCTGTAGACTAATCGTTTATTTTACAACTATACTCAACTCCATTGAATTAAATTAATAAAACAACCCGAAATAATAATGAATTTAAATTATTTGTATTTGTCTCATAAACTTAAAAAAACTTTACAAAATGTAAAATATGTTTTATTTTGTAAATGAGTTTTGAAGTTATGATAACAGCTGTTCTTTCAAGATTAATGTACTCGGTCATAAAATGATGAATTGTTCTTTTATTCAAAACTAACTTTATAGTGTCTTTCTAATAATATTAAAGTAATAGCATTTATTTTTAACTAATAAATAAAATATTGAAGTTTCAGAACTTTATTATCACTAATGTAGTACTACATTTTAAAATTAATTTACATATTTATTTATTATTATATATTATTAATATTAAGTTATTAATCTACACTAATGAAATATTATGCTCAAAGTCCCGTTATTTTTTTCCTTCTGAACAAAAAATTTTTATTACTAAAAGTATAAATTACTGAAAAAAATATTAGATCTGGTATTTTTTTTTCATATTGGAGAAAAAACATCCTCGTGGGAAATTTCAATAAAACAATTGTGCAGCTTAAATTTACAGGAATATGAGTTTTAACTATTGCTTTTCACATTTCACATGTTATCTGTTGTTGGATTTTATCAATCATAAACCATAGGTTCTATATTTCTAAAGTTTTAGTCTTTATCGGGTAATAGATAAATCCATATATGTAATACACGTTTATGTCATTATTAGAGGGAAAACAATAATAGTTTATGAAGCGTAGGAACTTGTGGTTTACTCAAAAATTAATAATATCACTGTAATTCATAACATAATATTCATTATTATTACGTAGGCAGTGTTATAGATTATGTAATCATGTTAAAGCTGCAATTTTGAAGTATAATTTTAAATTATCAGTTGGTATAATTAATCAAGAAATTATTATAACATTACCATCAAAACAATTTTCTGTCACATGTCAATGGAAATTAAAATGTTATCAGATAATTTAATTGTTATAGTATTTGCTTAGTGCATTTACGTTGATGAAATAAATAATGACACATTAATCATGTGTATTAATAAAATAATAAAAAGTTCAAGCATATCGAACTTTAGCAAAATTATGTATCTTTAACCAGAAGCTTAAACTATCATCAGACTACTACTATCTAGTAAATAGTTAGTAACTAAAATGCGATTTCAAATTCGATTATTAATTCTCATTAATATTTAAATTGTACTACAATATTTAATGTTAAATTATTGCCAATTATTTTGTTTGTTCGACAGATGTATTATATTTAAATTGAATACTTTACATTTTAATGCTGACAATATTATTAATTATATTGCTGTAGATAAATGAACTTTATTTGTAACTTTAATCTTTCACAATAATTAGTTTTATAATTTCGAACTAGTGTTCGTCCCGGAAATCAATTGGAGACTGTGACCAAAACTTTCTTCTTTATATATACTTCTATAAAAACCTTCGCACTAATTTTTCTTGACTAATAAGTTTTTAACAAAAGTCTACATTAATTATTACTTGTCTTTAATTAATAATTATAATCAATTGATATTGGTATTTTTGAATCTAATCAAATAGCAATTATGTTAGTTCATTTTATTTACATAATGAGTATAAAAGATTCCTAAGTTCAAAACTTTTTGCATAAATAGTAATATAGTAGCCGAATAATGAATGTCTTAAAATTTTTGAATTGTAAAATAAGACTATAATAATATAAATATAACTTATTTTATTAATGTACTCCTCGGGATAATTAATCGAACAGTAAAATTAAATTGCTTAGCCATCAAAATTTTGCTAGTAAATTGTTACATAGGTTATTTATATTATAGACAATTAAAATAGGTTTAGTATGATTGAATATTATAAGCTACAAAAAGATAAAAATTAAGTTGTAGAATTAAAATTTCTGTGGTATAGTTCATTTTTTAGATAACCAGAAGTTTCATGGATGTTAATTTTTTAAAAAAATTGTAGGATTAATGATTTTTAATTTTCATAGTAAAAAAATCGGTTATTTTGAGAAACATTTTAGTTAAATAGTTATTTAACTAAAAGACGATTATAATCATCTTGTTGACCTCGATAAAATAATCTTCGTCAAAATAATAAATTTTAACAGGAAAAAACAAGCTTTAGATAGTAATATTGTAAGAGACTGACGTTCTTCATTCAAAAATGACAAAGTGGAATGTGAAATACAAAGTAAAATTATAGTGGCAAATAATCTCACTCTTATGACAAATGCCACTGTGTTGTTTTATAATATGGTTTGTGAAAAAGTTTCTGTTAAATAAAGTGTTTTTTTTTATCTTCATGATGATTTTTAGCCGGTGTATTCAAAAAATGCAAAATGTAGTTTTTATTAACAACTCTAGTATACATACATAGTATAATACAGTAGTTAGGGGTTGTACAAATATCAGATCTGCCTTAAGATTATGTGCAAGGGAAGTATCAGTAGATGCGCAAAGATACAGAAGTTGTTTAATGCAACGTTTATAAAGAAAATTAGCAAGTGATATATTAATAACCACATGGATCTGAGCGTTTAGGGTCTGTGTTAAAAATCTCAGGACTATGTACAATTTTTTCTGATAGAGCTCTTTAAAAATTCACTATTGAGAGGTTATGTGTTAGTGTTGATACGTTAACCTTTAACACAAGGGCGCACCTAAAGCTAAAATACTGGGGGTGATGAGATTATATTATGCTCACTAATCCTTGGGAAGTCCGTTCTCATACCACAGAGTAATATTTTTTAAATAATTACTTACCAGTATCTTTGTAAATAAACAAAAAAACAACTTTTTTTTACTAATAAGACATTATATTAATACCATTTCTTGGTTCATTTTTTATTGTAAAAATAACCACAATATCCTTTCTAATTTATAAAAAAAATTGTTTATTATTCATGATTATTGTCAACTACTAGTAAAAAAATCTATCATAAATTGATAAAAAGTTATTTTCTCATAATTTTAGTGATTTAGAACTAGATGTGCTACAGTGCCCCAGTTTCCCCCTAGTTACGCTAATGATTTAACATCAATTACTTTATTTAAAATACAACATTTGTTATCAAATAAACTGCTTTTTAGTCTACGGCCATGCTAGTATTGGTTACTTGAAAATGTTTCGCGTTTTTAAACACAGTAAGCATTTATTTCATACTGTTAATAAAAGTTTACTTTAGTATATAGTATAGTTAAGTACTATAGATGTATAGTAAGCGTGGATGAACGATAGGGGTTGAAAAAACCTAAATATTAAAAAAATAAATATACAAATAAAAAATATTATTTTTTTAGTTTATAGTGAGTGTAAGTTACTCAAATGGAGCCGTGTAATTTTAAGCGTGTCCTCTCTTGAATGTAAGGGTCTCTTCAAGGCTGTAGATACACACTTTATGTGTTAGCTCTTAATAAACCACATACATATGTGATTTATTAATAATACTTCTTCTAATTTTTAAGTCGAATGATAATTTTTTTTATAAAAATTTACTAAAAAAATTTTGATTTATTTTTGTAAACATAGTAAATATGAAGTTTAATGTAAATAAACTTATTTAAAGGATAGTTTTTAGGATTAATTTTGGGAATTTAGGTAAAACCTACATTTATTTTTTTACCATTTAATGAAGAATTTAATAAATATAATATTAACTGGTTAATAAGCAGTCAACCAATAAGTAAGTTTTGTAATATTAATTTTGGGTTAATATATTTGTAGGTAGAGATGAGAGGAGTACGTAATGTAGTAAAATTCTTACGTTATCGTAATAAAATAGCATCATAAACCCCACACCTCATATTTCCTAAATCTTTAAACGCTCATATCTTAAAAAGTAATTTTACAAAAGTATTTATCGACTAGTCAATATTTTTTTTATTTATTACATTATTCATTAAATGGTATAAAAATAATTATAGGCCTCTATTTAACTTTCAAAAGTTACCTCTAAAAACTACTTTTAAAATAAGTTTTTTTACATTAAAATTCATATTTACCATGTTTTACAAAAATAAGTCAATTTTTTTCGGTACATTTTTATTAAAAAATCATTATTCAACATCAAAATTTTGGGTAGTATTCTTAATAAATAACACTGTATACTTATATTATAAGTGTTATTTAAAGGGTCATTAAAATATCATCATTATAATATAAGTATGAAACTCAAATTTATGACGAAATATTTTTATTTAAAATGATAAATGTGTAAAAAAGGTTTAAATAAAAAAACAAGCCTAATAGATGTTTACCGTATTACATATTTAAAATGATAAACTAAAATGTAATAACAAAATGATTTTCCCAACATAATTTCTTCATTCATATTATTCTAATTCACTTGAAAATATAAAAAAATAAAGAAACATTGTAAATTGATATTTAATAGTAAATACTTGTAAGTTTAATTAACACGAATGCGTTTGTTTCAGATACAAATGAACGAAATAAAAGGCTCCCAGAAAGGAATAGTGGCTTGCTGGTTGCTAGAGTAAGTATTAATTACTTTTTACGTATTATATTATTAAAAGGTAAAATAGTCAACGATAAATAGCTAATTTCCTTTTTAATGGTAAGAAAATTTTGTGTATACAATGAATATATGTACAAAATGTATATATTATTTATATATAATATGAATTAATTGGTCATTGGAATTATATATTTTTTACATTTTAACTAAAGTTTTTTATAAAACGCGTAAATAATCTTGGAATAATTAATTAAAATGAAATTCTGATAAATCATAACGAATGTATACTGAGATATATTATATATTTTTATACATATATATATTTAATACTTATTTCAATAAAAAAATATCAAATAAGTTGTTTAATTTTTTTATATTGTACATCATACAGTGATATAATATGTGGTTTTATTAAAAAAAATTATAGAAATTATAACCCATGGTACCTGTTTCTCAAAATGGTAATAAAATGGGTTAATTTGAAAAAAAAAATGTTTATTGTAAAAGTCTACAACACTATTATCTTGTAATAATTTTATAATTTCAAGATAATCAACGTTCAGTATATATTTATTAAGTGTTATAAGTTAATTTTAAATTTAATTTAGGTAAATAATGTTTCCTATATATAATTATATTGAATTCCTGTAATGTAATTACCTAAGGCTGCCAAAAATGTTAATCCAATTTTATTTTTATTTTTCATATAAGTAAAACCTTCAAAAAATTTGAAAACTTACGTCAAGGCATATTAAAATGTTTTAAAATTTTAATTTTTCTGCAAATTATTAATAAAAAAAAAATAAAGCAACTAAAATTATAACTTTATACTTCATTTTATATAAGTTAATGCGTTACAATTAATTACTTTATTATTGTAGTAATATAAAAAAATAGGAATAATATCGAATTCGTCATTTATTGAAGTATATTGTGATTATGACGTTACAATAAAAATAATTTATACTTCAAAGTGTTATGAGTAAAAAATCACAACTTTTTAGCGTTATCCACTTTTTTTTTATACTATGTTTGGGTAATTATAATTAGAAAAGTTTCAATGTATTTTTCATATACAAAGAATGAAAAACAATTAAACAACGGTATCTGCGAATATTAAAAATTAAACAGTCTTTTAGTAACAAAGAAAGTTATTCGTATGGTCATATGAGATAGTTCTGTAATTTTATAATTTGTTTTAGCGTTTCCAAATAAAGATGTAAAGTTTTAAACGAAAAGCACTTCAGCTCAAGCTAAATAAATTATTATTTCACTTAAAAAAAATTGTTTTGATTAATTTATCTAAGTATTTAACTATATTTTTCTAATGTTATATTTGATTTATTCATTATAAAAATAATTCTATCGTAATCATAATTTATTAAAAGTCCCGTATGTCAATAATAAATATTCAGTTTCTTATTCAATACTTAAAATTGTTAACTGTTTAATTTAGGTAATATTTTTGTAAAAAATATAAATTAATAATACCGCATTAATCATTTATACAATAAACATTATGCGTGCAAAGCACAAATTATCATACAGATATAATGAACTAAAACATTTTGGATACATATGATTAAAGTGTTTTTCAGGCCTTAGAGGGAAGAGCATCACGACTGTCATCGTATTTAGGGTAAACACGATAGTATTACGATAAGGGATTGCCGACGGCTAGTTGGTGCTGAATAATTAATATACATTAAGTAACAAAACCATTTCGTGTTAATTAGCTGTTCTATTTGAAAATATACTCTTAAACAAGTTATTCATTTGCAAAATGAAAATTGCATCTTCAAAATGTTTTTATTTATATTTTTATAATTATTTTTTCATAATGAATTAACTTATAACAAATAAAAAAATTTAAAATTGAGAGAGTTATATTTTTGGGTATATCTTCTCTTGTAACTAGACGACTCAAATATTTATATGCGACTATCATTTCAAAAACATAGAATTATCTATAATTATCTATAGAATATGTAGGTAGCAATACTCGATTGTTTATTAATTGGAAAAAAAATTTTTAGGGAATTTTACATTTTTTTTTATTTGAATGAGAAATATAATAAACTTTTAGATTCTATTATAAATATTTTACCATTCAAATTGAGGTTAATAATGTTACTCATATAATAAGTTAAACAAATACTTCAATTTACAAACTATTTTTATATTCAAACAAAATGTTTATTTATTTCAAATAATACATTTATAAATACAATAATCATTGGTGTTAATTTGAGTTTTTGTTATTTTATAGAAAAAAATACATGAATTTTTTAATACTTCATACACAAAGACCTTGGTTCCTTTAAGTTAAATACTCATTTGATATCGAGTTAAAATAGATAAATCTCCATTGAATATTAAAATAATGAAGGAATAATATATTGAATAGGATTAATTATCAATTAGTAATTTTTTTTCTTTAAATTCCATAAAAAAAATTTCTAACATCAAAAAATGTTTTGATTATTAAAGTTTAATACAATTTAATGTTAGTAATATTAATTTGCTCTTGAAATTATACTTAGGCTTTTTTATATTAAACGAAGGTAATTTTGAAAATATTTGGATTAATTTAAATAAATCAATTCGGTTGAAATAGATAAATTAACTCTAAAGATCTTTAAGTTTTTTAAACACTTAGTTGATTAGTTTAAAACTAAAATGTATAATTTTGAAATCATGAAATTCCAATTATAATATTCTAACTTCATTAATTTTTTTTAATAAAGAAAGATATTTTTTGATGACTAAAAAATATTTTATAGATTTTATAAGTTTTTACTAACATAAATATTTGGAATTATACGATTAGTGTAATAATTTTTCAGTAAAATAATAATATATATTCATAACCAGGCAATTCGACTTGCTATAGGTACTTTCCGTATAAGCCCTATAGACAGTATCCTATGAATTTCAGGAGAACCCCCACTACAGACCTTTTTTTTTTCTCCGCTTTAATCGACTTGATGTGGGCCGCCCTGGAACTGCCGTGAGGCATTGCTTCAGGGCGCCCACTACAGACCAGAAGAAATAAAAACATCTTAAAATACGTGACCAAAAAACTTCCCATACCAGACACTATATCAACTTTTCAAATATCCTGCCCAAATAAGAAAACACAAAGGACCAAAATCAATTTTGGACACTTATATTCGTATGTGCAAGGAATACAACGGTGAGTTCAAAATTGAGACATCATTTTCTTTTTTAACAACTCCATTCTGGCAGTACCACCCCAAAGTCCACACCCAACTATCCTATTTGAACAAAAACTTTACTCCCCACTCCACAATCGTCTCAATTTTTATTGAAAATATAAAATCCGACTTTCATGATTATGAATTAATTTACACTGATGCCTCCAAAAATACAAATGGCACAGGATGCGTATTCATTTCAGGCAATATAAATAGACTTTACAAACTACCTTTAGATGCAAGCATATTTACGATAGAAATCTTTGCTATTAAAGAATCAATTACCTATACTGAATCCTCCCTGATGAATAAAGTACTAATCATAAGTGACTCCTACAGTGCCCTGACTTTATTATCATCAAATAACCCGTCAAATGAACTATTCCTCCAGATATGCAACATCATTACTAACTCTAATAAAATTTTTGAATTTATGTGGGTCCCATCACACATTGGAATCAATGGTAATGAAAAAGTTGACACATTGGCTAACCAAGCCATATCTTTTACTCTCTCATCAAAAATAATGTCACTACCATATAAAGATATTTTAAAAATAATTAACCGAATTTCCGTTCAGCATTGGCAAACTCAATTGGACGGTACTACCAACAACAAATTAAAAATACTGTCCATAAATGGCGTTTATCTATCAACTCAGCTCGCATAGTAGATATCCTTATCACCAAAGTCAGAATAGGACATACAAGACTCGCATACTCATACATTTTCAACAAAGAGGAACAACCGTATTGCTCTTCGTGTGAGGTACCATTGACCATTGAACACTTAACACTCCACTGCCCCAAATACAAGGAGGAGCGGAGTATTCTAGGCCACCCCAAAAACATGGAGGAAGCTCTGGGCGAAGCAAACACGGATGCCATTTATAGATTCTTTGAAACTGCAAGACTTGTAAATTTATAACATTATTGTATAAAATTTAATTATAAATATGTGTATATTATACATATTAAATTAGGTACATCCATTATGGTTTCACGTATAGAATTTAGGAAAAGATTTTTTAATATTAAATCATTTTCCTTGAAATAAGCAAAAGTAACAAGTATATTGTGATTTTACATTAATACTTTAATATATGAATAGTAAATAATTAAGTCTATAACTTTTATATAACAAAATAAATAGCTTTTTAGTCATAAAAATATTTTTCTATTTTCTTGTCATGTGTCACATATATTTTAGTTACGATACGAAGCTGAGAAGGTATTAATTTTACTATGATGGTTTTTTTTATTATTATTTTTTTTTTGTATTTGTTACCGCTTTTTTTCAACTCTCACTATATAGATTTCTTTCAAAGATACGTCAAAGATCACAAAACGTATCTAGTCACAGAAATTACCCTCAAAAATTTAAAAAATTCCCACGTTCCCCGTGAATGGGAGAAATCTCCAAAATAATTACAAATTTAAAAATCACTAATTTTCGATATTTTTCAATTTTTTTTACTTAAAACTGCCATAATTTTTTCTAAAATGACCAAATCGCTATAATTTTTTTTCATAGATACATGATGTCTTTACCTATCATTTAGTATATTTTTTAAATATATCTGACCCTTTACTTGCTCACAGGGGGGGATTCAAAATGACAATTTTTTCACAAAAAATTAACTTTTTCAACATAACTTTTGAAAATATTCCGGAGATAACGACACTTTTATATATACCATAAATTAAAGATAATGTAATATGTATGGATCATTATAATTTTTTTTATGATAAATACCTGTAATATAGTTCATTTATGCGTTATACTTTTTTTTTAAATCGGACTATTTTCCTTTATACGGGAGAAATTAGAACTTTTTCAACTTAATTTTCGAAAGTGTTCCGGAACACTGACACTTTTATAAATATATATATATATAGATATCTTAAACTAAAATTTATGTAATAGAATTTAATATAAAAAAAAAATTTCGGACTTTATTTTGTTTTCATGGTAAAAACGGACATCAAAGTTAATAATAAAATACAATTTTTGTAAAAAATTCTTTTTTATATTTTAACTTTATAAAGTTTTAACTTTTTGTAACATGTATGTATCATTATAATTTTTTTAAGATAAGTACTATTTATATTTATATATTATTAATATATATATTTATTTATTGATTACACTTATAAATCATTCAATTAATTTCTGAACATTTCTACATCAAATCCATTAATATTTACATACACTTGTTATAAAGAAACGAAATCTATAACTATTTATTAATATTTTATAATTTCTCCGTAGAGATTATAAAACTAATTGTTGAATATAAATTTCATATTAAATTTAACTACTATAAGTATTTATTCATATATTATACTTATAAATAAAAGAATTACTAATCAAGTTATGATTAAAGAAATAGGAGTTCATGTTGCTTTTGGTATAAACTGCGGATTTGTTAAAATTAAACACTACAGATTTGCATTGAAGCGTTTCTTATAATAGTGATTTTATCACTATCAAATGTCATATATACTCGCCCCAACTATATCACATCCACACTGTACCACGACTCCATTGTATTACCTTTTTTTTTGTGCAACGTTTATGTGTTTTTAACTTATTTAGAAAATTTTTTTTGACCAGATAATTATTTCATAAAAAATTATTTTATATAATTTACTCATTACAAAATTAGTTTATTATTAACCAAAAAAAAAAAATTGTACAGGAACATTATACAGGTTATGTTGATTCGTTGATATAGTCAGCTATACTGTTTACTTGATTTTAGAGTAGGAATAATTCTTTAATTTATTAAAATTAAACATTATTCTTAGATTTGCATTGAAGCGTTTTTTATGTTAGTGATTTTAATCACTGTCAGATATCATCTATACTGGACCCAACTATGCCACGTCCCCACTTTGTCGCGACCCCACTATGCTGGTTTTTTATTATTCGATATTATTTGAATAATGAAATATCTCAAGTCATACTAAATATTGTCAAAATATTTCAGATTATTTGAGTCAATTTTTATTATGAAAAATATTTGAGTGAAATTGATATTTATAAATTGAAATTACTTATATAATATATATATATATATATATATATATATATAGCAATACATTTTCAAAAAAATATACGAATTGATTTTCAATTATAATACGGTAATTTTTTTGTTTTAGTTGTTGAGTATATCATCAGATATGTGGGACAATTGTTGTTGCCGCCGAAGAGATTCTCTAGTCGAAACATCCAGAGATTTAGGTGATGTATATTCACCGATAAACAGGAGTGAATCTCCACTAGCACAAGTCAGTAAACTTCAAATTCTATAGTATAAAAAAATAGTATCTTACTATCATTTTACTTAAACTTTTTAAATTACAGAAGTTAATTTTTATTAAATGATTTTACGAAGAAAGATTCGTTTTACTCTCTGTTTAGTTTTCTTAATTCGTTTTCATTTGTATCCAATGAAAATATCCATTAAATTTGCCTGGATTTAAATAAAATAAAATAAATTAATTAATGCTCTTGGTGTTCAGTGACATAAGAAAACTAGGAATTTTTGATACTGTTGATAAAATAAATCATTTGAATTTCTAACAAAAGGAAAATATATAACAGAAAGAACTTCAATTGTAATATAGTATTCCGAAAATGTAAATTTTATTTTTATTAACTGACTCATTACTATGGAAAATCTTTATAAGACTATTTAATACATGACGCAGCCACCGTACATTACACGGATATATAGATAAAAAAACTATTTAAGCTAATTCAAATATTCAAAGTCACTTTTCTTAACTTTGACGAGGTAAAATAATTAAAATAAGTTTATATTTATATTTAATATAGAATGAGAGACTGGTAGATTTAATTAGTGAGAAAGAAGTATAGGAGACTGTGGCATCAATGAAAAAGAATAAAGTAATAGGACCAGATGAAGTGCCAGTAGTAGTATGGAAAATTTTAGGTGGTGATGCCATAACGTTATTGAAGGAACTTTTAAAAAAAATCTTATTAGAAAGGAAAATTCCAAATTAATCGAGGAATAGTATTGTGGTGCCGATATTTAAAGGTAAATGTGACATACAGGAGTGTGGAAATTATAGAGGCATAAAGCTTATGAGTCATAGTATGAAAATTTGGGAAAACGTAATAGATAAGAGAATGAGAAATGAAACATCGGTATCTAAAAACCAGTTTGGATTTATGCCTGGTAAGTCAACAATGGAGCCAGTATTTTGTGTGATGCAATTAATAGAAAAGTTAAGGGAAAAGAAGAAAAAGCTGTGTATGGTATTTGGAGAAAGCGTATGATAGAGTACCGAGAGAGGTTTTAAAGATTAATGAGAAAAGGAGTCCCGAAAAGGTACATTAATATAATAGAAGATATGTATAATAGCACTTGTACCAGGGTAAAAAGCGTAGGAGGAGTATCAGAAGGTTTTCGCGTAAAAGTAGGAATGCATCAAGGTTCTGCTTTAAGCCCTTAATTATTCTCTATAGTGATGGATGAAATTACTAGAGAAATACAAGGAGAGGTGCCGTAGTGCATTTTGTTTGCTGACGATTGTCGTAACACAGTAAAAAGTAAATGGGAAAATGAGTGAAACTATGTGTACGAAGATGAATATGAGGAGGTGGTGCCTGCTGTCTAGGTATTCACGTGCGCGTTGTCGTACAGCAGTCACCGTGCTCGGCTGACACTCCGGGTTAGCTGTGGGTGTCGAAAGGCTGTTGTTATAGGAAGGGAGAATAAGAGTAACACCTAGGTATGAGGTGCAGACGAAGTGCAAGACACAAATACTTGGGGTATAGGAGAGGACAATGAAGTACGAGGTGCAGACGAAGTGCAAGACACAAGTACTCTGAAATGTCGAGGAAAAGAGTATATAGGTTAGAAAAGGAATAAACAAAGACTTTACTTTAAACAGTAAGCCGGACAGCGACAACCGAGTACTGAGACTGATGAATGACACAAGGCACTGGAGTCGACGACTGACCACGATGGTCAGGTCTATTGGGTTTTTATAATAATTACACCTATTGCCGATTTGGCAATAAATATTATTTGTTAATTCACCAGTCTCAGGAAGTGGATGTGCTGTCTGTATTTTATTAAAATAATTCTCACGATTATGAAAACGTGACACCATCACACGATATAGTATTAATAGGAGAAAATAGAGAGGAAATTAATCAAAGGCTAGAGGTATGGAGATCAGCTTTTGAAGAAAAGGGTTTAGAAATAAGTAGAAGTAAAACAGAGTATATAGAGTACGAGTTTGACAAAGGAGATCACGAGGTAGGTGAAATGAGGAGGTCAGTGACAATAAGCGAGGACGTGATTGGAGAGGTGGAAAGTTTTAAATATTTAGGATCAGTTGTGCAAAAGAGAGGTGGTATTGACGACGATGTAAGACAAAGGATTATGTGCGGGTGATTGAGTGAAGAGAAGCGTCTGGTGTGTTATATGATAAAAGAATACCAATGAGTCTGGAGGGTAAATTCTATAAGACTGTAGTGAGACCAGCTATGATGTATGGTTCAAAGTGTTGGGTGGTTGATAAAAAAGTAGAGCAGAGAATGAGTGTAGCAGAGATGAGAATGCTTAGATGGATGATTGGAGTGACTAAAGAAGATAGGATAAGAAATGAGCATATTAGAGGGAGTATAGGTGTAGCGTCATTCGCGGACAAGATGAGAGAAAATATACTTATTTTTTTTTTATTTATTTTATTTTATCATACCATACCATACCATTCTCTCCTCATAACATGACCAATGGTCATGTGTAATTTTTTATTCTATTACCACTTAGATCTCACTGGACCGATTTTTTTAACGATACGTCAAAAAATCATAAATTGTATCTAGTTGAAGACAAAAATTAAAAAATTTTTCTCTCGTTCCCCATAAATGACAGAAACCACAAAAAATTATGATTTTTAAAATTAGTAAATTTTGTCAATTTTAAAAGTCTAATTTCTTAAAATTACCAAAACTTGTTGTAAAATGAACGAATCAAAATAACTTTTTTGTATAAGTACCTTAGATATTATATAAAATAAAATATTTTAACTTGCCACAAGTGGAATTCAAAGTAGGGACTTTTTCACAAAAAGTTAACTTTTCAACCTAGATTTTGTTGAATATGTTCCAGAAATACTGCATCATTGAAACACATATTAAAACTTATGTTGCGTACTTTAAAGTAAAAAAAATTTTTGGTGTCACCATAACTGTTTAGTTAATTTATTTAATTGTTTAATTAGTATAAAACTGATATTTAATAATCTAGTATTGTAATGTATTTTACGGAAAAGTATAAAAAGTTAAAATTTGTTGTATATAAAGTGTCTTTTTGCTTTTGGAATAATCCACCAATTTCTTAAAATTAAACTCTATCTAAATATTTGCTTTGAAACGTTTCTTATGATAGTGATTTTAATAACTGTCAAAAATGATCTATATTTGTCCTAATTATGCCATGTCCACTTTGTGATGCGACTCTACTGTGCTGAGTTTTATTTATTTAATGCATTAAAAGATTAGAATATGAAGTAGTATTACTAGAAAATATCTTAAAAAATGTTATAATTTTATTCATGTACAAGGTTATTTTTTTAACATGTTAAAAGAATCACCTTATATATACACTAGCATTGAATTTCACAAAGATCGTTGTTTTATAACGTATAAAACCAACTGGATCATTTAAAATTTTTTAAAATTTTATTTTATTTAAATATTTGAAATTGATGTCATTTACAATATTCTTTTTAAAAAAATAGAAAATTATAATTTTTAATGGATTGGCTCTAATGCTTTTTACTTATTTAGCTTATATTGTGTGATTAAAAAAACTATTTTTTTTTCTAAGGTTCTAAATGAACATTATTATCTGAAAACGAACCTTTTTAAAGTAATAATGTTATAATGAGACGGTAAGTACTATGCAAAAGATATCTATAAAATTTACTTTATCAAATAAAACTGTTTTTTTTTATTAAGTGTTATAAGTTTAGTGGACCTTTACAATATTACCATACAAAAGGTAGCTATTTGGTCAAGAGCAGTTATCGTTGATCATACTATACATAATAGTAATTTATTTATAAGGAATTTAATTTCCGTCATCATTAGTTTGAATTTTATTTTCTGGAGCTATTAAAGTAATGAATAAATGTAGCTAGCTAGTTATGGTAAAATATATTTTTTATGTCCAATTGTGGTGTTATAATATTAAATAGGGATAAACAACCTTTAGTTATTTCTAAGCTTCTACGTCAATAAGATATTTTTTTAATTCTATCAGAACTCTGGTTATCTTGAAAAATATTTTGTACCACTTGAAATTTTTCGTAGGTCAATTCTAGTTAATTGGCTTTAAATCATTTTTTACTGAATTCTCCGTTTAAAATGTTTGTTAGGAATGGTCACATAATTACATTTTTTGTTCAAATTAAATCTTTTTTCTTCCTAAAAGAAAGTATTTTATTTTAGTGATGTTTATAATTGAACTATATATTGATTTTAATAACAAGGTAGTTGAAGTATTTAATCCATCTTTTACGAATGATTTATAATGATAAAACATCAAACTCATAATTATTATTTAAATTTATTAATGTAAAATTATTTATTACAAATGAAATTCTGATTAAATACCATAATCAATATCAATAAAAATAGATCTCATTGATAGTTAAAGTTGATAGTTTAATGACACATTAAATGATAATCCATTCTCTAAATTTACTTAATAAGTGTACACCTGACAAACTATCATACTATTGTTAATTAATTTATTATAATATTAATATTTTATAACATTTAATTTTCAAATGATAATTGTCATGTTGGATTATAATAAATTTTTATTTTTTAACTGTTCTAATAGTTTTGAAATTAAATCCCATTTAAAAAGTCAAATTATAGGAGTGTCAACATTTTTTATGAATATTATCACAATAGTTAATATGAGATGGTGTTTCTTGAAATTAGCTCAGGGTGACACAATAAGGTTTCCTTAAATAGGTTAAATTAACATAACAAAGCCATTTGTAGGATCATAAAGATGTAAAAACAGTGAAGTTCAACTAGTCTGTAAATAATAGAAATGCACGTTTTACCTGAACATGTAAATATATACTAAATACTCTTATTACAATATGATACACAAAATGTTCTTATCACACGAAATTTACAGACAATGTATATTTTTAAAAATGTATTTGTGATATCTTATTAATATTGATTTATTTAATTTAAATCTTTAAAATAGTTAAGTTTTACTTTGCAAATCATTATTTCATTTTTTTTGTTAAATATATTAATGTAACATTTAATATTAATAATGTTAATAGCAATTAATAAATCAAAAAACTACAGATAAATAAATATAAATTTATGTTTAAGTATTTTCACTTATAAAAGGCATTATTGCAGCTTAAAAATTTGTGTTCTGTTATAAATGTTTAGTAAAATAATTATTTTTTAAATTATGATCAATAAAAAAAAAGAGTAAAATATAATATTTAAAAATAAATATGTTATCAAAATTTTTTTATAGTATGAATTTAATATATCGTCAACATTTTTCAGAGTCCAGAAAATTGTAATAGATTTGTCTTTGGCTGCTTTTTGAATATACAAGATGCACGACTAAATTTTACTTTTAAGAAGGTAAAGTGTTTACACGCTATTTATATATGTATTTTTTTTGTTTAGTTTATAGTTAAAATTTTAAATAATATTTGCTTAAATTTAACGTCAAAACAAATTTGTTGTTTTAAATTTCATAAAAACTAAAAAAAGAGTAAAAAATATTCAATATACTCTATTTAAAATAATGGGCTATAAAGGGACTCTCCCTTAATGAAAATTGTAATTTTAATACAATTTTCTTGTGAAATTTATACTTGATTCACAAGAAATACTACAAATAAAATTTAAATATATCACATATTATTTCATATTTCGTTTTTTCAACATGAGTCGCTAACTATAAAATACAACATTCATAAGAGTTATATTATTTATGTATTCCTTTGAGTTTTTTCTAAGGTGAACTAACAATACTATAAAATAAAAATTGATTAAAATATTTTTATACAAAAAATTGTAAATTTATATTATAAATATAAACACAACACATAGAAACTAAACATTTACATACTAAACATTTTAAATCATAAAAATTTGATATAACTCCATAATTAATATACAGTAGTAAAAAAAATATTTAATTAATGCTAATATATACATATACATAATTCTATATTTTAATTCATCGTTCTACAGCACAACTTTTAGCTTAAATATTTAAGTTCATCAGAGGAAAACTTATGGAATCTTGTTATAAAAATGAAAATTTTAATTTGAAACATTATTTCAATGAAAATTAGAATTTTAAATTATAAGTTACAATTATATTTATAACTTTGTAATCAATATCACTCAAAATAAAATTTTTTGTGAACTCTGACTTGAGTCTACAATATCAGTTAAAAGTTTAGAATCGCTTCATAATTATCTAAAAATTAAAAAAAAAAACAAGATTTTCCTCGGGTAATGTTATTTATTTGAATTATTAATAAAAGATAATTATTATATAAATAATCATTTTTTTACTTATTTCAACTCTCTTTTATGTATACGGCTTTTGTTTTCATAACCGACTCAATAGTACAGACTTAAAAAATAAAGCAAGTAAAAGCTTAAATTTTGATTGATAGTGTAATTTAAAAAACTGTTCAGGTGGGACTTTTTTGTTTCTGAATTTTTAAACCCCGAATATACATAAATATATCTTATTAACTTTTTATTGAAAGGGTTTTTCTCTTAAAAATAAATTGTTTCTAAATGTTAATGCAAGAATTCGTGTAATTAAGATGATAATTCTTTTATAGTTTTCAAAAAAACTAGTTATAATTGTGTTGGGTAAGGATAATTTTTTTCTACTTATAGTTAAGTAAAAAAATTAAGTTAAAATAATTAACTTATTTTAGGTAACCACTTTATAGAATTTATTTTATAAGTTTTCAACTATAGTATAGATAAAAAAATTATGCCTTATTGTAAGTTAAAAAAATATTAGGTACTCGGTGAAAGAAAAAGTTTTCAACATATTGATATAACATCTAACTATCGTATTATGTTTCAAAAAGTTATCGAATTTAGTGTCACTAAAATTTTCTTTTATTAAAATGATGACTTTTAAGTATATTTACAATCTGTGCTATTTACACAAGTAAATTTGACAGTTTACAAAAGTTGGGAACATATTACTGATTAAATATGAGTAGTAGGCTTACATTAGAGCCACGTAATAATGGAAAAAAATTAAAAATTTGAAATAATAATTATAAAACAGTAGATGACAGTGATGATGTTTTATTTTATAAAAATTTAAATTTAATTTTGAAAAGAAGATAATTTGTTTTTAGTTTTAGACGAAGCAAAAAAAAATATAAACAGCATTTATAATCTTTTTTTTTTTATTATTTAAAATCAAAACATTGAAACTATAATACTATTATTCAATAATGAACAATTTGATCCATTTCATATAAATAATATTTAGTCTTTGGGTTATACATTTCAAGTGGTTATTGTATAGACTTATATTTATTTTTATAAAAAAAAAGTAATTTTTTTACTGTATATAGTGTTTAGTAAGTAACGAAACGAATTTCTATTGTTCTCATTGTTTGTAACAATATACCTGTTGCTTTACTTACTGAACACCTTGTATAATGATAAAGTCTTGTTGCAAAAAAAAAACTTATTTCTTCATAATAAAAAGTAATTTGAAATTATTTGATTATCGTTATGATTAGTTCTGAAATTAATTCTTTTTAGTGATTTTTTAGTTTTAAGTGGAACCGTAGATAGAATTATATATTTTTATGTAATTATGGCTGAGTTTCATTCGGTCTATTTCTAATGTGTTGTTTTTTATTTAAGACTTATCGATATTAATGAATCTAGGCTAAGTATTTGTTTTTGCTGTGTATTACCGGTAGGCATCTGAATAATTGAATATGATCGCTCTGTACATTAAAGATTTATGCTACCCATAAAACTTAAAGACCTTCCTCCGGATTTGGACTCCGAATCTATTTAGCGTTATTGATTTTAATAAAACAACATAAAATTATTTAGATACTGGGGCTAATTATTTAACTTTTTTTAAGAAAAATTATTTACAAATACAATATTGTATAGATTATTATATGATATTTAGTTGATTTATATTGGTATTGTAGATATTGATAGTGGCGTCGAAAGATGATACGGTATGGCAAACATTGGATACAACTGCTATTCATTTGGGCTGGATAATAGATCGAGTAACCAGTTCTGACGAAGCTTTACAAATTTTTCACAAAGGCAACGAAGTGCCAATTGTAGTATTTGTTGATTGTAGGTGCCAAAATGACAAATTAATTGATGGGTATCATATGGCTAAGTAAGTGTTGCGTTTTATATTTATTAAATACATCAATTAAAAACTTTCTCAAAAAATTATTATTGGAAACAAAAGTTATAATTGAATTCGTGTGTTGTTCGAGTTTATAGTTTTAATTAAATTTGCAGTTTTTCTTTCGATTACTTCTATTAAAAATATTCAAATATTATACTGATAAGACATTTTCAACTTGGTGAAATTCTGCGTTTGGTTTTTTATCCATTGTAATAAAATAGGAAAATTAAAATTAATATTATATGATAATTTCTAGTTCAATAAACGAAGTCTTATGTGTGATAAAGATTCGAAGTGGTAACAGTGTACACTTGACATGACCGTTTTAATACTGCCTTTTTGTATATTATTCTTTATCACATTACATTAATTTTATGTTTTAGTATTGTGTAAAACAACTTTTTTGCTCTATATTCTCTATTTTTATATTTGAAACTTAAAAAAAAAATTAACTCATAAATTATATAAAATTAGGAATAAAAGTTAGACAGTGAGAAAACTTTAATAAAGTTATTATAAAAACTTTGTGTAACTAATGTATTTAAAGTCAAAAACTTTTTTGTTACATCTAAGGAAGCTGAGTGGTAAATTCATAGATTAGAACAGAATTTTTCTGAATTTATTTTAAAAGTATGAATATGCCTAATGGTAAATATGAACTGTAAACGTGCGTAATAAATATAAAATATAAATAATTGTTTAATTTCGGTTTAAATTGATATTTGAATTAAATTTTCCTAAAAAGAATCAATAAAAAAAAAAAAATTGTCATGTTTGGTAGAATTCACATCATGTTATAAAACCACGGTTTTTACAACATTGCAATCATAAATACTTATTACTCACATCGTGTGCGATCATCATGTTTGTCGTATAGTGTAAAACTAAAAACGTGCTCTGAATACACGATTAATAGAGTTGATAGAAGTAATTTTTCTAAAATCATAGAATTAAAGGCGAAAAATAAAACGATTGGGACTTTGATCTGTTGTCAGCCTTGCAGAAAATAATATATTATACAATACAATACATTCGACAATAATAAATGGACAGAAGTGGTATAATAGATGATGGTAATTTTAGGTTTTTGTTCAGTATACATTACAAAACTAATTATGTTATTATTAAATTTTAAACTACTGTAATTTTCAAGTAAAATTAAAAAATTCGACGGAAATAGTATTCTAAAATGTTTTCTGGAATAGGCAAAGTAAAATAAATATCAACGTTAATTTTTTTCAAATTTAAATGAAAGTTATTTATTTTTAAATTTCCGTTTATTTTTAAAGTTAAATTTATAAAGGGAAGTTAACGCTAATTAGTCTGTCTAAAGTAACCACACCATTCTAGTGCGTCGAGTGCATAAGAGTTAATTAGAATATAATGATTGTCAGAGACTGGGAGATTAACTAACTTTTTATGTTGACAATAAAGAAATATTTATTAGTTTACATTATAATTAATGAACAAGACGTTCATTTAATATTTTTGATGTAATTTTTTTTCGTAAAACGATATTATAACAGTAAACAACGGGAATATTTTAGTTACGGTAATTAAATTACAGAATTTCTACCTAAATAGGATATGTTTTATTAGGTTAGTATTCATTACAATGATGTTATTAGGGTGTCGTCTTAGGGGTTATATATTTTTTTCTTATAAGAAAATTTTTATTATTCCCTCCAAACAAAAAAATAGACTGTATCTTCAGCATGAAATTACTTTTGTCATGGCGTAACATGAAACCCATATCCCCCCTGTAATTACGTCAGTGATTTATTATATTATCTTAATTATTTTCACATTGTATTTATAAATATCAATTACAGTTATTCGTCAGGAAGCATTTTTTAAACAAATTATTCTAAATATTTTTAAGTGAAAGAATTTTAGTAAAATTCCACCATTTAAAGTGAAATGCCTACTTAGTGAATTTTTCATTTGTCATTAACACGCACTTGAGTATTGAAAATGATGAATATTCAAATATTACAGTAGTTATAAAAGTATTCAAGTTAAATAAGTAAACGTTTCACATGACAAGACACTTCAGGTTTTAATATTGTTTATACCATCGTAATCAAGATTAATATCCTTGCAAATCTTTATTGTGCATGCAACCCGCAAAAACTCATTATGGTTGTATTTTGATATGAATTATGGGAGCGTTTCACTTTATCATTTAACACCAGGAATGCGTTCTATGAAAGTAGTAAATGTTTATTAGAAGATGTCTGGTTATAATTTTACAAATGTGTAAACATTTATTATTTATACAACGTCTTTATCTTTATAAATATAAATGTTTAAGATGAACTAGTTATGCTTAAACAATATGTAGTTCAGATTATAACCTTGTATGTCACGTACATTCTGTTTATTTTGAAATACTTTTTATCTATTATTTGGTTTTTCATTTCCTGGGTATTGAAAATTACTTTTATACTTGTCAAGTTTTAAATGTGATTTACAACGAATCATTCGAAGTTTGTTGTACACGTGCTGTTTTGTTTGCAAAACGTTTTATTAATGTTTATTTATTTAGAAATATTCAAGTGAAAATGAAATGGGATCGAATGGTAGGCTTCAATATCTGTTTTAATGTCGAATGCACACAAAAGTAAAACTTTAAGATGATCGAAGTAAACAATAGGTTTGATGCGTATGATAATAAAAGATTTCTAGTAAATATTTACATAGAGGCCACAATAATACCGATGCCAAAAAGTTGAAACTGGCTTTTAGAATATTAGAAAAAAATCACAAGTTTTCCAAGAAATAAGTCATTACAAACTTGTCATTTTGACAATTGTTAAAAAATATATTTCTTAGAAATGAAATAGCTTGTTGTGTGATTCGATATGCACTTAAATATGTTTATCGATTGATATAAATCTCAATGTTAGTCGTAACTGCTTGAATATCTCAGATCACGTTACAACGTGGAGAGTATCGGAGTTGTTTATCAAAATACTTCCAATATCTAAAAATAGCATTCCCTTGATTTTCAACGATTTTTTATAGTTGCATGACTTTACTCGTCTTTTTCTTACAGTTTTTTGTGTGCTACTCGTGTTTAAAATATGATTTTTTTGAAAATTACTGTGATATACAGTAACGTATAATGTATTATAGTATTTTTGTTAAGGCGATTTCAATCGCCATTACTAACACTTCAATTTACCATTGAAACAATACAACAAGTGTCATTCATCAATTTTCAGTGAAATCTCACAGGTGCGTTTTGATTATACAAAATAATGTACGTGTTATGTTATTTTAAAGCGTTGTGACAAAATTTCCGTCAGTGTGAATTATTGTTCTTTTGAACTCTTAGTTATGAGGTAGACTTTTTGTTATGACTTTAACAGAAGTTTAAAAAGTTTTAGAGTAGTTTGATCTGCGAATCAATGGTCCAAAGGTCATTACAATAATATATAAATATTTCGTAGAAATTCCGGATGTACGTGTGTCCATAGTAACACAGTTTTCCCGACACGATCATTTCCTGTCATGATCGTTTAGGGTCGTTTTGATGAAATACTGAAATTTTTTTGAACTACCTTTCATACCCGATACCCGGTTTCATCACATATTTTGATATGCGGCACCTGTTCAAAAACTCATTGTAATTTTGAATTGTAGTAATTCATAGTGAACTATTATGTATCTTAAACCTTTTTTCGGATATTGTTTTGGTAAGAAAAGTCCACCAGTCGTAAGCCGAGTAAGTTGTATATGATTGATAATGATACCTTCATTTATAGGCGTGTTGTTAGCGTGCATGTCTTCAGAAAATCATCAGATGTCATGTCGAAGTCACGTTTTATTTTATGTCCATATGTGAAACGTATTAAATAGGCTATGGTCCGATATCTCACGTGTAAATAGTTGTATTTTTGATAATGTCTTAAGCGGGGACGGTATTTATGATCTGTAGCTACATTTGCTAGATTATGTTACAAGTCTTGAAATTTACTAAAATAAGTTGGCTAAATTTTTTGGACAATTATATTGTCTAAAAGATCTTTTAGAATTATTTTGAAGTAAGGTAATTTTTAGTGATGGGCATTTTCGAATATTTTAAACTATCAAATAGTATTCGAATTATTTTTATACAACCGAATAGTTTATTTTTAGCATAAACTATCGAATAGTTTTTAAAACTATTCGAATATATTGTGTAACTAACGAATATTTTTGAATGACTATCGAATAGTTCGATAGTTACTATTCGATAATTTCTTTCACTAGTAATTTTTCTCCATTTACAAATATTTTCAGTTACAAACAAAATTTTTTTTCCACTTAAAATATAAAATTATGGATATTAAATTAAGATTGTATTTTATTTTTTATATCTATGATATTCTTTGTGCAAGTATTACGTAAAGTCATTTTAATTAATTATAAATATAAAATTATTACAGCTAATGTAATAATAATAAATAAACACATTTATTAAAATTAAAAAATCATAAATCTCGTTCGTATATCATTATATTATATTCCATTCTAAAATATCGAAATAGTAATCTTAAAGTGAGTAAAAGTAATTTTACGAGTTAAAAACACTAAATCAGAAGAAGGATAAACTATACCTATTTGTTTGTCAATCATTATTGAAATATTAAAATGTGTGTTCTAAAACTCCAAAGATTTCATAAAAATAAAATACCAATTTAGAGAAAGGTTCAGTTAAATACCTACATTAAAATTCCACATCACTGACGGTCAACATCAACCTTGTAAAATATTTAAATGAAAGTATTTTAATACTTTTTTGCTTTTTAAAGTGTTTTGAATTATTAAAAAAATATGAATTCCGAATATTTTTTTTGTATTTATATTTTTTAAATCAATTACTTTAAATAACGTTAACTATTAACCTACTAGATATCTGGACAATCAAACTAAGTTAAAAAAAAAAGTTGATGGTTTTTATGATTGCTCGTGCAAAAAATTGTTTTTTTATTTATCAA